TCCTCCTCCTTCTTCACCCGCTCCTCCTCCTCCACCTCCTACTCCTCCTCCTCCTTCGCCCGCTCCTTTACCACCGTCGCCACCTCTTCCTCCACCCCACCTCCTCCGCCTCCGCCACCTCCTTGTATCCTCCTCTTATTTCTTACCTTTATTTCCCTTTCAAATTCTAAGTAACTCGACAACGTTTCAGCGTTCTTCTTAAAACATGAAACAAGAACAAACACGTATAATATCTCTTCTATAACGTATTAATTTTCCATCTTTATTCCTCGTTGTTTCGGCAGAATGATCAGACATCGAGAAATCAGCGTTATATTAAAAATCTGACTTGATTTGCTCGTGTTTTTGCAAAATAAGTGCAGAAAAGCGCAGCGGGCTCACATAGTGGAGAATTTTTCTCTCGTCGAATATAAAGAAGAACTTGCAACTGGTAGGTGAAAATAAACAAGTATGAAGAACGAGTGTGACAAGTTAACGGTAAATTTCGCGTAAATAGAACACTATAAAAGAGAGAGGGGAAAAATACAATAACGTACGAAACGACACGCGGCACCAATTTGTCAGCTTCAGAGCAAAGAGCAAAGCATCGGTGATAGAGTAGCCAATCACAGTGAATACTGACTCGGGATCGGACTGGTTGTATAGGGCAGCGAAGCACGCACACGCTTTGCCATCCTTTTCTGTTGCGGTCGAGCCCCTCTGTAGGTACGACTGCCACTTAACGCGAATGGACGGTTAAAAGACCCTCCTGTGTGAGTCAAGCGGCCACTCGAAACAACTACGATCAGCCTAGGTTCCTCTTACGCGCACCCGTTCATTGCTAACCCCCTCCTTTCATGCCAACTTCGCCCTCCCCTCCCCTTTCCTCCCTTTCGCTGTCTTTCAGTCTTACCTCTGCACGCGCGTGCTCGTGTTCTCTCGTGGCGAACCGTATCGAGTCACAACGGAATGGTTACTCCATTTACTCATACGTAAAGTATTATGCGGTCCGACAGAATTCAACCGAGTTTTTCTTCTTTTTTCTCTTTTCCTTTCCTTCCTCTTCTCCTTCCCCTTTTCTTTTCTTCCCTTTTCCCCTCTCTCTCTCTCTCTCTCTCTCTCTCTCTCTCTCTCTCTCTCTCTCTCTTTTTTTTTTTCTTTCATCATTTCCGACTTCCAAATCATCCTATCGGAATTATCCATCTGCGATTCCGTCCATCGTAGAATCAAAGAATTTTCGAAATATCGTAGAATAAAGAAGCATTTTTCTATCACTGGAGAATGAAAACCAATTGTGCGTGATAATTTATCGTTCTACCATGGAGACCTTGAAACAATCGACTGACATTTGGAATAATCGTTATTTTCTCTCTTCCTACGTTTCATTTACCAGGCTTAGTTACCAGACGTCTTATAGGTCAGTTATGATTTTAGAAACTCTAACGAGTCGATACGATTCGATAAAAATTAATAGGTTGCATCGCATCGGTTCTTTCCTGACAAACGGATCGCTTGTTCGTCAAGTTTAAGCATTCGTAGCAGATTCTTTGAAGAGAATTAAGGTTAGTAAGAAAAAAGGAGAAACGAGAGAAAGACGGAATGTCCTTTTCTGACAAACGGACCACGATAGGACTGAGCTATAAATAACACGGCGACTTCTCTGAAAACGGAAAGTAGCTCGCCTTCAAGTTCCGTAGCAAATTCCCAGAATAGCTTTCTGGATCGGTGTTTGTTCGGTCGCTCGGTCGCTTGGTCGGCAGCTACTATACACACACGCACGCGCTAGCACCCGCGCACGCATCCCTTCACGCATCTCTTCACGCAACCCCTCACGCATGCCCTCACGCATGTAGACACGAATGTACCACGCGTGCGCGCATAGACCCTTTACGTATGATTATCCTACCAGTTGTATCTAGAGTGATTTCCAATTTTTATTACTTCTTTTCAATCTTTAAACTTAACCCAACGCCGTTCGTTTTTCTTTTTAATACTTGTCGTGTTTCCTTAATAATTCCTACCAATTCAAAATTTATCCATAATTTCCGAGTAATCGATATGGAATAAACGTTTATTTCATTCGTCTAATTACGCTACTTTTCTATCTACCTTTGCTATCTACCTTTATTTCGTTTTCATAAATTCGATAACGCGCAACATATGATAAATTCTAATTGTAAATTGCACGTTATTATTACTCGTTAATATTACTCGATTGTACGTGTATATACGTACATACATATATCGTTCATCGATGCTAACGATGCTTACCGATCTTTCCCAGTAAAACAATTATGCTTTAATTATATAGCACTACCGATCTCGTATCTCCTGTTGTTGAAATTCTGATATTAATCGTTTATGTTAATCGTGCGTTTAAAGTAATCCGTTTGAAATAACATTGAACCGATTGCACGCATATACATGTATATATTCTAGTTGCCGTTACGTCTAGCTAACCATTCTACTAGACGAATAACCCCATCCAACATACATATTTACCTTCGTTACAATTATTTTCTTTATATTCTATAGTTCATTGTAATTCCGCTGGTTCTGTTATTCCATACTTTCTTATTCCACCTGTTATTCTATACCTCCTTTTCATTCTACTACAACTTTTTCACTGTTCGACCCTATTCTCTATCGATTTCGATAGAATCGTTTAGTATCGATAGAATCGAGGTACCTTGGTCGTTGGGTAAAGGTTCGTATATCGGGATGATAAAAATCAGTGGTGAATTTTTATCGAATAGGAAAGAAATTATAAAAATGAAGGCTAAAATTAATTTGATAAATTTTCATCGATTTCTTTTCTTTTTTTCTCGGAGACAAAAAATCTTGCTAAACAAAGGTGGATCTAACACAGTTGAAATATTCACGATGCATACGAAAACATGCATCAACATATTTCCTCGATAACATTTGTGTTATTGCTCTCGAATGATCATGCCAAAATGTATAATTAATATAAATTAAGGCGAACAATTAGAGAAAGCAGAAGGATGTCGCACTTTTCTCGATATCAGTATACAGTGCATTGGGTAGACAGTTTGCACGCGTGTGCGCGTACTTTACTTATTCCACATCTTCTTATTACTTTATTCAAAATATTCTTTATTCGAAACTTAGCCATGAAAAATTTTCATGTGCTCAACTAACTGTCTATCTATTATTTTGAATAGAATTGGAAAATGTTTTATAAAACATACAGAAATGAAAGACATTAGTTCAAAACAACATAATATATTTCGATATAATTTGACTTTCTAGATGATTCTATTTCGATTCTATGTCGTACATATGTTTCACTCGACTCGACTCGACTCGACTCGACTCGACTCGACTCGACTCGACTCGACTCGACTCGACTCGACTCGACTCGACTCAACTCGACTCTACTTCACTCTACTTGACTCGAGTCTACTCCACTCCACTCCACTCCACTCTACTTCTCTCCACTCCACTCCACTCCGCTCCGCACCGCTCCGCTCCACTCCACTCCACTCCACTCCACTCCACTCCACTCCACTCCACTCCGCTCCCCTCAACTCCACTCCGCTCCACTCCGCTCCACTCCACTCCGCTCCACTCCACTCCACTCCACTCCACTCCACTCCACTCCACTCCACACCACTCCACACCACTCCACTCCACACCACTTCATCCCACTCCATTCCGATCCTTTCCACTCGACCCGACCCGACTCAATTCGATTCGACTCCATTCGATTCGATTCGACTCCAATTCGATTCGATTCGATTCGATTCGATCTGATTCGACCCGACCCGACCCGACCTGTATTCTTTCTTGTCCAGTTGTGCTCAGTTTTCTTGCTCCATTCCCTAGTCATGATACGCTATGCGATACTCGAGACACTTAGGCATACGACACTCAACACTCGACACTGAATACCGAGGACGAATCCAGACCTTAAAGACAATGACAATGTTAAGATACAGAATCTCCTCCAAAACCGGAACTTTGGTGTCGATCGAGATAACAGTAACTAGAAAGTATCTTTTAATCGGTATCTCGAAAGACATACCTTGATCCGCTCAACAACGAATCGAATCCTTCTGATCTGGGCGTCGCGGCGTTCCGCGTCTAATATACACCTCTCGGTGGGTGTTCGCTACGCGCGTCTTTCTCTTTCAGAGAGAACCACTTTCTTCGCTATCCCTTCGAGTTACCCAGAGAATCGCTGCGTTATCGCTGCCCCCCGGTCTCTCAGGTTCGAGTTACCTCCCTAGGCACCGCCAGCTGCCCGCCTAATTGCGAACAGGCAGAAATAGAGCCTGCAATCTTCTTCCTTGCAAATAACGAGTAGCTTATGTCTTGTTCGTCACGAGTTCTTTCTTTTCTCTCTCCCCCTCTTCCTCTCCTCCCTCTTCTTCCACTTCTTCAATCCATCCTTCTTTTACCACTTTCTTTCCCTTCTTCCCTTACCTTCCTTCTTTCCCGTTACATCCTTTCCATTATTTTTCCATCACCGCGCTAATTTTTCTTTCCTCCCTTCTTTCTTCGATTCCTTTATTCCTTTCTTTTCAACTTTCCAATCATCTTCGGATATCTCGATCCATTTTTATCGAGATTCAACGTAGGCGCCTGACGTAATATCGCGGTATGTACCTTTCAAAAATTGATCATGGCAAAGGACAATATTGTAGGCGTTGGCGAGAGAACAAAGGACAGTTGATCAACGATAATTTTCGGATACACGTGGAACGACGAAGAAATTGCCTCGAGTACACGTGTCATTGAGTCTCGCTAAAACCGTGGGTGCCAAGGTGGGTGCGGAGTATACCGAATCACTGAAACCGTCAAATACATGCACTGTAAAACTAACGGTCGTGGGTGCGCGCGCCTGCCTGCGTCTTTTGACATTTTAAAAGCGAATAACAACATTTCTATTGCCAGTGGTAAATCTTTTTCTATTCGTGCGATTTTATTTTCAACGCGATGCATACATAGCTTATTACTTTTACAAACATTTTTTCTCCTCCCGTTGTATTTCTCTTTCCTTCCCTTTATCCTTCTCTTTTCTCTTCCCTTTGTCCCTCCCTTTTTCTTTTCTCTTTCTTTTTCTTTCTTTTCCTTTTTTTTTTTTACAGTTGTCTTAAAAACCGATACTCACGGAATAAACGTGCAACGGAAAAGATGTCAGCAATGTATCTGGCAGAAAACGTTTTTATATCTTACACTTCCTTGATGGATGGTACAATGCTTTCACATGGCTATTCTGGCATCTCGATAGCAAAACGTTGGGTGCTTGCTCATGGTTCCATATTAGCTCCCATTTTACTCCGATCACAAAATTTTCTCCATCTTCTTACAACTTTAAGCCCTGGATATTTATCTATGATTCGAACATCGGAACAATTAATCCATGATTTAACGTTTTTTATACATCGTAGCCAGGCGTTAAAGGAATTCGGCAAGGTAGTAGCTATTTGGAAATGTCCACTTTTAAAGCAAACGCTAGAGGACTCTTTTCGAAATTGGACGTTTCGAAACCAAGATGATTTTGATCGTCTTTTAATACCGATCTTCCTGATAATCAAATGTAAGTCGCTCGAGTCAATCAGTCAAACAAGAGAATCAGAAGGACCAGAGAAACAGTGGAAATTCATTGAAAATGAACAGGAGCAAGCATCAGAGGCAGCAGATAAAGCGAAAGTTGAACATGTTTTACTTCAACTTGCGAAACAAGTTGCTACCGGCAGACTTACAAAAGGAGCTATCGCTGAATTGGTTTCCACACCTTTTGGCAATCCCTTTTTCCTCGACTCCGTGAGTCGTGGGATTATTGGAAACTTACTTGGGACCAATAACTGTCTCATCCTAATGGATGTAACTAGTTTCCCTGGATCCGAAGGCAGCCCTGTATTTTTAATTAACGATCGGTAATCATTATCTCTTTTCTTCCTTCCTTCCTTCCTTCCTTCCTTCCTTCCTTCCTTCCTTCCTTCCTTCCTTCCTTCCTTCCTTCCTTCCTT